CGTGTGCCGCGGAACACCGGTTGGGAAACACTGGACTAGACAGACCATATGGAAGAGGCAACCTTATCTAATCTATTGTGGCCTGCACATCTCCTTCTCAAGCATTAGAGGGACTGGGAACTCAACCCCTGGCCCCACTCCCACCCCCTGGCAGCACACTAGCAAATGGGAACTAAATGGCCACCAACTTGGATGGCTTGAAAATATTCTTGGACATATTCATGGAGGAGAAGTCTATCAATGACTACTAGCCATGATGGCTATCTCCTGCTTCCACACTTAGAGGTAGGAATTTTTTCTTAATACGAGTGTGGGGAGACCACAGAAGAGGAGGGGGCTCTTGTACCCCTGTTTGGCCACTGGGAGACCAGGACCCTGGACTAGATGGGCCATTGGCCTTTAGTTCTTGATTATTTCACCTCTATCACTTCATTAACAAGTTCCAGGTCTTCCCAGTCAGGTGTCTTGTGGCATTGGTTCCCCATGGTTCACAGATACAGGTTTCCCAACTCTGTAAGAGAATATAGGATATGTAGCAGAGACAGCCCAAGATATTAGGAAGATTCCCACACCCAGAGCGCTATGAGGAAGGGCCTCACGTTAAACAGGCTTCCTCCATACACTACAACATAACCCCCATCTATATATGGTTGTATTTTTTCCTATACTGTTTGCAAGAAACAAGCTGCAGTTAAGATTAACCACAGTTTTGGGTTTAAACATGGGCACTATGCCATTTTTTTATAGAAGCATTGTATTAGACCACAGGCATTACTGTATATGAAGGGGAAATGTGTGTGCGTCCTATGGAGTCAATGTAGGCTTTCGCTTCTTTGTTCTTTGGGGCTGTGGGGGGGGGGAATACATTTTTTTTCTTTATTCCCCCCCCAAAAAAAAACCCTAAGTGCACCCTATGGTCCGGTGCACCCTATAGAGCAAAAAATACGGTATTTCCCTATGAATGTATTAATGTTTTGCTTAATGGGTTCTAATTGCATTTTGATGCTCTGTCGTTCCTTTTTGTTTGTGATGCCATCATTGTACATTGTGTAAACCACTTCAATATTTTGTTGTACCAAGTGGAACAGTTGTACCTCTGGTTATGTACTTAATTCGTTCCGGAGGTCCGTTTTTAACCTGAAACTGTTCTTAACCTGAAGCACCACTTTAGCTAATGGGGCCACCTGCTGCTGCCGCGCCATCGTCGTGCGATTTCTGTTCTCATCCTGAGGCAAAGTTCTTAACCCACGGTACTATTTCTGGGTTAGCGGAGTCTAACCTGAAGCGTATGTAACCTGAAGTGTATGTAACCCGAGGTACCACAGTATATGCCTGTTGTCTTTGTCCATGGAGTTTTCTTGGCAGGGATACTGGAGTGGCTTGCCAGTTCCTGCTCCGAGTGGATCACGTTTGGTCAAAACTCTCCACTATGACCTGTCCATCTTGGGTGGCCCTGCACGGCATAGCTCCTAGCTTCTCTGAGTCATTCAAGCCCCTTTGCCACGGCAAGGCAGTGTGCTGGATTATGGAGAAAGCTAGAGAGTTCCAGAAAGACCTCTACTTCTCCTTCGTTGACTGTGCAAATGCCTTTGACTGTGTTGACCACAGCAAACTTTGGCAAATTCTTAAAGAAATGGAAGTGCCTGATCACCTCATCTGTCTCCTGAGAAATCTCTATGTGGGACAAGAAGCTAAAGTTAGAACTGGATATGGAATAACTGATTGGTTCAAAATTGGGAAAGGAGTACGACAAGGCTGTATATTGTCTCCCTGCTTATTTAACTTATATGCAGAATTCATCATGAGAAAGGCTGGGCTGGATGAATCCCTAGCCGGAATTAAGATTGCTGGAAGAAATATCAACAACCTCAGATATGCAGATGACACAACCTTGATGGCAGAAAGTGAGGAGGAATTAAAGAACCTTTTAATGAGGGTGAAAGAGGAGAGCGCAAAATATGGTCTGAAGCTCAACATCAAAAAAACTAACAACATGGCCACTGAGCCCATCACCTCCTGGCAAATAGAAGGGGAAGAAATGGAGGCAGTGAGAGATTTTACTTTCTTGGGTTCCATGATCACTGCAGATGGTGACAGCAGTCACGAAATTAAAAGACGCCTGCTTCTTGGGAGAAAAGCCATGACAAACCTAGACAGCATTTTAAAAAGCAGAGACATCACATTGCCAACAAAGGTCCATATAGTTAAAGCTATGGTTTTCCCAGTATTGATGTATGGAAGTGAGCGCTGGACCATAAAGAAGGCTGATCGCCGAAGAATTGATGCTTTTGAATTGTGGTGCTGGAGGAGACTCTTGAGAGTCCCATGGACTGCAGGAAGATCAAACCTCTCCATTCTGAAGGAAATCAGCCCTGAGTGCTCACTGGAAGGACAGATCCTGAAGCTGAGGCTCCAAGACTTTGGCCACCTCATGAGAAGAGAAGACTCCCTGGAAAAGACCCTGATGTTGGGAAAGATGGAGGGCACAAGGAGAAGGGGACGACAGAGGACGAGATGGTGGGACAGTGTTCTCGAAGCTACCAGCATGAGTTTGACTAAACTGCGGGAGGCAGTGGAAGACAGGAGTGCCTGGCGTGCTCTGGTCTATGGGGTCACGAAGAGTCAGACATGACTAAATGAATAAACAACAACAAGTGGTATATAAGTTATTAAAATGAACGAATGAAATTAACGCTGGGTGCGGTGGAAGTTTTGGGCCCCCTGTCTGGGGCTGATGGGAGTTGTAATTCAGTAACATCCAGAGGACCAAAGGTTCAATACACCCTCTGTCTGCATATCCCTGCAGTCCCTGTAAATGATGAAGGGGCTTCTCTAGTTCATCAAAACTTCAGCTCCAAATAAGGGCTCTTACACACTTCTGATTGACCTTTCTTTTCTAAGCATCAGCGTGGAAGGGTTTTCATTTACCCTGCTGCTTTTCCTGGGAAAACCTGGCTGTTTAACAGTGAATCAGAACAAACCCCATTCATTCTGATTCAGCGGTAAATAAGAGACGCGGGTGGCGCTGTGGGTTAAACCACAGAGCCTAGGACTTGCTGATCAGAAGGTCGGCGGTTTGAATCTCTGTGATGGGGTGAGCTCCCGTTGCTTGGTCCCTGCTCCCTCCAACCTAGCAGTTCGAAAGCACGTCAAAGTGCAAGTAGATAAATAGGTACTGCTCCGGCGGGAGAGGTAAATGGCATTTCCGTGTGATGCTCTGGTTCGCCAGAAGCGGCTCCCTTGGCCAATAAAGCAAGATGAGCGCCGCAACCCCAGAGTCGGTCACGACTGGACCTAATGGTCAGGGGTCCCTTTACCTTTACCTTAATGGGTTTCCCCAAGAAAAGTGAAACACAAAACTCCTCTGACCCAAGCGTTTAAGCATGAGACAAGTGGAAGACATAGGAGAAGTAGTGTGGGCGAGTCTTGGATCATGTTAGCTTGCAAAGAATGGTTCCTGTTTGGCCACATTCCCACCATCCATCTTAAAACAGGACAATACCACTTTAAACAGTCCTGGTTTTCCCCAAAGAACTCGAGGAGCTGTAGTTTGGTAAACGCGCGGAGGGTTGTGAAGAGACTCCTGCTATTCTCCTCACACAGCTACTGTGATAGGAATTTTATGGTCTTAGATATATGGTAATGTTTATAAGTGTACCAACCAAGCACATACATAGATCAGCACAAGAAGGCCAACCGGGAACCATTTTGATTCCTAAACTGACCAAATGTTTTATCTGCAAGGTCAAAGTGGGAAACCTCCCCATTGTCTCTTTCCTCACAAATCCTGCCTTAAGGACACATTTAAGATATGAATAGGGTGTGAGCCTGTGACCTGGCCCAGGAACTAAGTATTTATCACTACAAAAGACTAGCCAGGCTCCCTAGGCAATCCAATCAAGTAACCTGCCAGACAGGAGATAAACAACAACAGGAGAAAAACAATATTCAAATTTCTGTTTCAGACCGCCTTTTCTGTGATGTAGGTGTGATGTATCTGAGGGGTTGTCTTAGGTTACACACCTTCTGTGATGTATGTATGATGTTTCTGGGGGTGGTCTTGATCTAAAAAAGGTAAAGGTAAAGGTGCCCCTGCCCGTACGGGCCAGTCTTGACAGACTCTAGGCTTGTGTGCTCATCTCACTCTATAGGCCGGGAGGCAGCGCTGTCCACAGACACTTCCGGGTCATGTGACCAGCGTGACGAAGTTGCTCTGGTGAGCCAGAGCCGCACACAGAAACGCCGTTTACCTTCCCGCTAGTAAGCGGTCCCTATTTATTTACTTGCACCCGGGGGTGCTATCGAACTGCTAGGTTGGCAGGCGCTGGGACCGAGCAACGGGAGCGCACCCCGCCGCGGGGATTCAAACCACCGACCATGCGATCGGCAAGTCCTAGGCGCTAAGGTTTTACCCACAGCGCCACCCACGTCCCTGGTCTTGATCTACAGGATGGGAATTTCAAAAGTCTTTATAAGGCCTTGCACTCCATTTTTCTGGGTCCTCCTCCCCTCCTGCGAGTGAGGGGAGCACCCTGTTGCAACAGATCAATAAAGATCAAGCTTACTAGCTGCTTTGCTTCTCAATATTCTCTGGTTGGCCTCTGTTATTTTCTCCTACCAATAGGGAGCCTATGTAAGGACTCTATATGGGCTCTTGGATAAGGGAAAAGGGCATTTTTTGTTTACAACGCTACAATGCACAGAGTTCCCTGGAAAGTGGGACTGATTGTTAAACCACGGTGGAAACTGCAGTTCTGTGAAAGGAATTGTGGAAGTCTCCTGTACTTTTATCAAGGTACAGCTCCCCGTATTCTTTGGAGGAAGCCAGGACTGTTTAAAGAGGTACCTTTTAAAGGATGGCATGAATGCGGTCATTTTTTACACCAGCAAAGCACACCTACTCCAAAGGATGGCCCCACTTCCTGGCAGGGACTTTGAGCTCCAGCTCCCTCAAAGGGCAGCCTTAAAAAATTAGGGATATTCCTGCTTCAAGGGCACATCTAGTGAAGGAAACATTGAGTGCCAAAGCTCCTTTTCTGAAAATGACGAGCAAGAAGAAAAGGAAACTCAAACTAAACTGGAAAACCCCTCCTCTCTACTTATCTCACATTCCCAGATACATTCATCCCCTTCGTGGCTTTTTCTTTTCAGTATAGCACGTATGAACTAAAGTCTGTTGCCTGTTGCAACAACCCTTTCCTCACCAAATTGCATCCCCACCATCAGGCAACTCACTTGTTCAGCTTCTCTTTTTCCCTGGAGAAATGAAAGAATTCCTTTAGCTCACCCAGAAAAGTAGGTCTACAATTCAGCCCCAAACCCCACTGCAGGGGTGAATTATTAAAAACTAGGATGTCAGCTCCCAGGAAGCAGAGCAGAAATGGGAACTCTATGTTAAGCTTCTCCTACAGGATCCCATGGCGTTTTCTCTTGAGCTTTACACAGGTGGTGCTGCATAATGACTCGCCTGCTGCATCCCAGATGTATTCTACTCCTGCTCAGGTAAATAGGGCCAGCTGCTGGTAATTTCAGAAAGTTTTGCAAAGGCTGCTGGGAAATGAAGTTCACAGGGAGGAAAACTGAGCCAAGACCAACAACCAGGCAGCTGAGAGTCCAAGATTCCCTCTTTCCCCTCTTGCACTTTGATTTATAGCCTTCCTGTTATGTTTTGTTTTTAAAGGGACACTGGTGGCGCTGTGGGTTAAACCCACAGAGCCTAGGACTTGCCGATCAGAAGGTCGCGGTTTGAATCCCCGCAATGGGGTGAGCGCCCGTTGTTCGGTCCCAGCTCCCGCCCACCTAGCAGTTCGAAATCACGTCAAAGTGCAAGTAGATAAATAGGTACCGCTCCGGCGGAAGGTAAACAGCGTTTCCGTGCGCTGCTCTGGTTTGCCAGAAGTGCTTCGTCATGCTGGCCACATGAACTGGAAGCTGTACACCGGCTCCCTTGGCCAGTAAAGTGAGATGGGCACCGCAACCCCAGAGTCGGTCACGACTGGACCTAATGGTCAGGGGTCCCTTTACCTTTACCTGTTGTTTTTTAACATTTAAATTTAATTTTTATATATTGTCCACATATGAACTTTTTTTAAAAAAGAAAAGTAGGACTGGCTTGGAGAAGACAGATTGCATTACAAGCCAGAGGTTCCACAACCATGTGCAATGAGGAAAGCTGTTTATTAAACAAATTATTTCATAACCACAGCAGTATGTTTAAAACTGCAACCTTGACAGGGGCCCAGAGTAATAAAGAGAGAAGCAAAAGGGGGTAAAAACCTACAAACTTTATTCGTGAATACAGGAAACACATTAAAATACCTACAGAAGCAAGTGTCAAGTAAAACATGCATTTAAAAAGTAAGTACCAGTGATTGGAGTAATCACTGAAGTAGAAGAATGGAGAAAGAGAAGCATTTGCAACATTTCTCTGCCTCTCCATTGCTGTCTTGTGCCGATTCAACTGACGTGAAATGAGTGCACTATCGTAAAAGCTTTCCCCACATTTGTGGGTTATTTCGTGGGAATTGTCTTGTGCTGATTAATTAGATATTTTAAAAAGGGTCTTGCTTCAGCCTGAGAAGCTCTGCGATGTCTCCTATTTATGCTTCAATTGTGTAACCCAAGGCTTCTGCTGCACCCAAATCTTCTGGAACAAATGGAACATACAAAACATTTCTTTTCAGGGCGGGTTACATTATGTTCAACAAGACTTGGTTCAGAAGCATGGCTCAGGCCAAAATCTGGCTCCTCTCCTCTATGAATTCTCTGATGTGCCATAAGGGATGTGCTGCACCTGAAGCTCTCTCCACATTCTGAGCATTTATAAGGCTTCTCTTTGGTGTGGATTCTTTGATGCACCGTAAGGTTGGGTTGAGTAAGGTAACTCTTGCCACATTCTGAGCATTTGTATGGCCTCTTCCCCTGTGTGGGTTCTCTGGTGTACTTTCAAGCTGAACTTGTGACTGAAGCTCTTCCCGCATTCTGAGCATTGATAAGGCTTCTCTTCCATGTGGGTTACTTGGTGCATGGCAAGGACTGACCTACGACTGAAGCTTCTTCCACATTCCTCACATTTATAGGGCTTCTCTCCCGTGTGACTTCTTTCATGCCGAACAAGGGATTGGCTGGTCTTATAGCTTTTCCCACACCACATACATATATAGGGGGCCTCTCCTGTGTGAACTCTTTGGTGTGCATAAACATTCGGCTTGTGTTTGAAGCTTTTTCCACATCGGCTGCATTGATAGGGTCTCTCTTCCACCTGAGTTCTCTGCATAACATTCCCGTTCATCTCTTTGTGCTCAGGCCCCATTGAGAACATCGCACAACGTTCTCCTTCATTCTCAGTTACCTGCATATCACCTGTTGAAATCAAGGGGAGAAAGTCTTGATGGGACCCCAGAGGAGAAGGAAAGCTTCCGTTGGCTCTCCACTAAATGTGTCATTTCATTCATTGAAATTGGCTATCTCCCATAGTGCAAGTTATTTGTTTCCCCCTATGTCTGTTAGAATATGCTGCTGAAAGACACCTTGCCAAGCAGATCTTTCCTTTCCTCTAAAGCAGGCGCTTAAGAGATTGAAGGGAATATTAATGGTTTAAGAATGACCGGTAGTTTACTGGAATTAAACAACAGTATATGCGGGTGGCACTGTGGGTTAAACCATAGAGCCTAGGCCTTGCCGATCAGAAGGTCAGCGGTTTGAATCCCTGCGATGGGGTGAGCTCCTGTGCTCAGTCCCTGCTCCTGCCAACCTACTAGTTCGAAAGCACGCCAAAGTGCAAGTAGATAAATAGGCACCGCTCTGGCGGGAAGGTAAACGGCGTTTCCCGTGCTCTGCTCTGGTTCGCCCAGAAGCGGCTTTAGTCAAGCTGGCCCCATGACCTGGAAGCTGTACGCCAGCTCCCTCAGCCAATAAAGCGAGAAGAGCGCGCAACCCCGGAGTCGGTCACGACTGGACCTAATGGTCAGGGGAACCTTTACCTTTTTTATACTGCTGAAGTTTGATGTGTTTGTTGGTTTGCGTGCTCTGGTGGAACAATTAGATCACTCCTTGTCTAACCCAAGACAGGGTTTTATTTTCTTATGAAGATAATCAGGTATTCTGAATGCATTGGCACAATTCCAGATTATCTTGCCTTCCTAGATACCGTACATAAGAATGGAAGGTATTATCACGCTCTGCAGTTCATGTTGGTGACCAGTAGGTGGCCATGCCAACCGAAGCATGTGGAACAGCTGGCCAGCCCAGGTGAGCTGGGGAAGCATATGCAAGGGGGTGAGAAATAAACGGAGGGCCTTTAGTCAGGTGTGGGGGGAAGGGCAAAGGGGTGGGTGGGTTTGGCACATATAGCAGGATAGGGGGAGTCTGAACTTACCCCAAATCCTGCCCTCCCCATCATCCTCTTCCTCCTGGGTTTCATTCTGCAGCTGCCTCTGCTCAACTGAAGATGGAGCCTGGCCTGCAGTGAGGAAATTTGCAGCAGCAGCCGCCTTCTCTTCCTATATTACCAGAAACAGAAGAAAGGAATAATTTCAATAGGAGCCTATTGTTCAAGCTGGAGCAACAACCTCCCATCATCTCTATCTTACACTCACATTCCACAAGTGAGAAATCCGGGATGTGCTTGTTTACATACCACACATTTAAAGTATACCCATTTATTGCACACACACCCAATCTCCAAATGGTGTGGTATTCCAGGTTTCCAGGAGCTTAAAGAGGGTTCGTTTCCTCAAAATGAGGGACATCTGAGAGTGTGGTATCTTAATGATCAATAGTTTATTTACACATCTATGCAACCTGAGCCTCTGATGGAGGGCTCACAGCATTAATGCCTCCTAAAGGGTCTTGCTCCTTCCACCCGCCATAGCAGCTATTTTGAGACTGGCACCCCCAGCGCTCTCCAGGACCTCCAGACCCTGAAGGCATCACTTGTGGAGTCCCTTGTTGAAGACTAGATTGAAGACTAGACCAGTGTTTCCCAAACGTTTTTGGGCAACGGCACACCTGTTTACTGAAAAAAAATCTCGCGGCACACCACCATTAAAGCCCCGCCCGTGACGTCAGCGCGCAGCGTCACGCCGGGAGGGACGCACAAAAGTGAAAGTTTTTTCCCTCCCCCTTGCTGGGAACCTCCAAGCTTTGGGGGTGGGAGGAGGCAGCAGAGCGAGGGACTGAGGGACGGCGGCAACTGAGGCGGCGGCGGCTGAGGCAGAGCTGGGAAGGGGGTTTCCAGGGGACACGGCAGCTCCTCGAAAGGCTTCTCTCAGCTGCGCTCAATCCGCCTCGGAGAGGATTTCCCCTCCGGTCCCATGCGTTCGTTTGGGGCATCGCTCCGGCTGCTCCCTCTCCCGCCACGCAGGAGCGATGCCTCTCTCTGGCTCTCCCTCCGCGCAGGCTGAGGGAGGGAGGGAGGGGCGCGTGTGACCCGTCTCTGCTGGGAGACCAAACCCAGCGAGGCAGAGTCGCGCGGAGGCGCCCAGGCAGCGCTGCCGGCTGCGAGGAGGAGCGCCAGGCAGCAGCAGGAGGCGCGGCCTCTCCTCGCCGCCGCCGCCCCGCCTCTCGCCGCCCGACTCGCCCGCCTCCCTCCAGGCATCTCGCGGCACACGAGGCAACGTCTCACGGCACACTCGTGTGCCGCGGAACACCGGTTGGGAAACACTGGACTAGACAGACCATATGGAAGAGGCAACCTTATCTAATCTATTGTGGCCTGCACATCTCCTTCTCAAGCATTAGAGGGACTGGGAACTCAACCCCTGGCCCCACTCCCACCCCCTGGCAGCACACTAGCAAATGGGAACTAAATGGCCACCAACTTGGATGGCTTGAAAATATTCTTGGACATATTCATGGAGGAGAAGTCTATCAATGACTACTAGCCATGATGGCTATCTCCTGCTTCCACACTTAGAGGTAGGAATTTTTTCTTAATACGAGTGTGGGGAGACCACAGAAGAGGAGGGGGCTCTTGTACCCCTGTTTGGCCACTGGGAGACCAGGACCCTGGACTAGATGGGCCATTGGCCTTTAGTTCTTGATTATTTCACCTCTATCACTTCATTAACGAGTTCCAGGTCTTCCCAGTTAGGTGTCTTGTGGCATTGGTTCCCCATGGTTCACAGATACAGGTTTCCCAACTCTGTAAGAGAATATAGGATATGTAGCAGAGACAGCCCAAGATATTAGGAAGATTCCCACACCCAGAGCGCTATGAGGAAGGGCCTCACGTTAAACAGGCTTCCTCCATACACTACAACATAACCCCCATCTATATATGGTTGTATTTTTTCCTATACTGTTTGCAAGAAACAAGCTGCAGTTAAGATTAACCACAGTTTTAGGGTTTAAACATGGGCACTATGCCATTTTTTATAGAAGCATTGTATTAGACCACAGGCATTACTGTATATGAAGGGGAAATGTGTGTGCGTCCTATGGAGTCAATGTAGGCTTTCGCTTCTTTGTTCTTTGGGGCTGTGGGGGGGGGAATACATTTTTTTTCTTTATTCCCCCCCAAAAAAAAACCCTAAGTGCACCCTATGGTCCGGTGCACCCTATAGAGCAAAAAATACGGTATTTCCCTATGAATGTATTAATGTTTTGCTTAATGGGTTCTAATTGCATTTTGATGCTCTGTCGTTCCTTTTTGTTTGTGATGCCATCATTGTACATTGTGTAAACCACTTCAATATTTTGTTGTACCAAGTGGAACAGTTGTACCTCTGGTTATGTACTTAATTCGTTCCGGAGGTCCGTTTTTAACCTGAAACTGTTCTTAACCTGAAGCACCACTTTAGCTAATGGGGCCACCTGCTGCTGCCGCGCCATCGTCGTGCGATTTCTGTTCTCATCCTGAGGCAAAGTTCTTAACCCACGGTACTATTTCTGGGTTAGCGGAGTCTAACCTGAAGCGTATGTAACCTGAAGTGTATGTAACCGAGGTACCACAGTATATGCCTGTTGTCTTTGTCCATGGAGTTTTCTTGGCAGGGATACTGGAGTGGCTTGCCAGTTCCTGCTCCGAGTGGATCACGTTTGGTCAAAACTCTCCACTATGACCTGTCCATCTTGGGTGGCCCTGCACGGCATAGCTCCTAGCTTCTCTGAGTCATTCAAGCCCCTTTGCCACGGCAAGGCAGTGTGCTGGATTATGGAGAAAGCTAGAGAGTTCCAGAAAGACATCTACTTCTGCTTCGTTGACTGTGCAAATGCCTTTGATTGTGTTGACCACAGCAAACTTTGGCAAATTCTTAAAGAAATGGAAGTGCCTGATCACCTCATCTGTCTCTGAGAAATCTCTATGTGGGACAAGAAGCTAAAGTTAGAACTGGATATGGAATAACTGATTGGTTCAAAATTGGGAAAGGAGTACGACAAGGCTGTATATTGTCTCCCTGCTTATTTAACTTATATGCAGAATTCATCATGAGAAAGGCTGGGCTGGATGAATCCCAAGCCGGAATTAAGATTGCCGAAGAAATATCAACAACCTCAGATATGCAGATGACAAACCTTGATGGCAGAAAGTGAGGAGGAATTAAAGAACCTTTTAATGAGGGTGAAAGAGGAGAGCGCAAAATATGGTCTGAAGCTCAACATCAAAAAAACTAACAACATGGCCACTGAGCCCATCACCTCCTGGCAAATAGAAGGGGAAGAAATGGAGGCAGTGAGAGATTTTACTTTCTTGGGTTCCATGATCACTGCAGATGGTGACAGCAGTCACGAAATTAAAAGACGCCTGCTTCTTGGGAGAAAAGCCATGACAACCTAGACAGCATTTTAAAAAGCAGAGACATCACATTGCCAACAAAGGTCCATATAGTTAAAGCTATGGTTTTCCCAGTATTGATGTATGGAAGTGAGAGCTGGACCATAAAGAAGGCTGATCGCCGAAGAATTGATGCTTTTGAATTGTGGTGCTGGAGGAGACTCTTGAGAGTCCCATGGACTGCAGGAAGATCAAACCTCTCCATTCTGAAGGAAATCAGCCCTGAGTGCTCACTGGAAGGACAGATCGTGAAGCTGAGGCTCCAATACTTTGGCCACCTCATGAGAAGAGAAGACTCCCTGGAAAAGACCCTGATGTTGGGAAAGATGGAGGGCACAAGGAGAAGGGGACGACAGAGGATGAGATGGTTGGATAGTGTTCTCGAAGCTACCAGCATGAGTCTGAACAAACTGCGGGAGGCAGTGGAAGACAGGAGTGCCTGGCATGCTCTGGTCCAGGGGGTCACGAAGAGTCAGACATGACTAATGAATAAACAACAACAAGTGGTATATAAGTTATTAAAATGAACGAATGAAATTAACGCTGGGTGGCGGTGGAAGTTTTGGGCCCCCTGGCTGGGGCTGATGGGAGTTGTAATTCAGTAACATCCAGAGGACCAAAGGTTCAATACACCCTCTGTCTGCATATCCCTGCAGTCCCTGTAAATGATGAAGGGGCTTCTCTAGTCCATCAAAACTTCAGCTCCAAATAAGGGCTCTTACACACTTCTGATTGACCTTTCTTTTCTAAGCATCAGTGTGGAAGGGTTTTCATTTACCCTGCTGCTTTCCTGGGAAAACCTGGCTGTTTAACAGTGAATCACAACAAACCCCATTCATTCTGATTCAGCGGTAAATAAGAGACGCGGGTGGCGCTGTGGGTTAAACCACAGAGCCTAGGACTTGCCGATCAGAAAGGTCGGCGGTTTGAATCTCTGTGATGGGGTGAGCTCCCGTTGCTTGGTCCCTTCACCTGCCAACGTAGCAGTTCGAAAGCACGTCAAAGTGCAAGTAGATAAATAGGTACCACTCCGGCGGGAAGGTAAACTGCGTTTCCGTGTGATGCTCTGGTTCGCCAGAAGCGGCTCGCTTGGCCAATAAAGCGAGATGAGCGCCACAACCCCAGAGTCGGTCACGACTGGACCTAATGGTCAGGGGTCCCTTTACCTTTACCTTAATGGGTTTCCCCAAGAAAGTGAAACACAAAACTCCTCTGACCCAAGCGTTTAAGCATGAGACAAGTGGAAGACACAGGAGAAGTAGTGTGGGCGAGTCTTGGATCATGTTAGCTTGCAAAGAATGGTTCCTGTTTGGCCACATTCCCACCATCCATCTTAAACAGGACAATACCACTTTAAACAGTCCTGGTTTTCCCCAAAGAACTCGAGGAGCTGTAGTTTGGTAAACGCGCGGAGGGTTGTGAAGAGACTCCTGCTATTCTCCTCACACAGCTACTGTGATAGGAATTTTATGGTCTTAGATATATGGTAATGTTTATAAGTGTACCAACCAAGCACATACATAGATCAGCACAAGAAGGCCAACCGGGAACCATTTTGATTCCTAAACTGACCAAATGTTTTATCTGCAAGGTCAAAGTGGGAAACCTCCCCATTGTCTCTTTCCTCACAAATCCTGCCTTAAGGACACATTTAAGATATGAATAGGGTGTGAGCCTGTGACCTGGCCCAGGAACTAAGTATTTATCACTACAAAAGAATGGCCAGGCTCCCTAGGCAATCCAATCAAGTAACCTGCCAGACAGGAGATAAACAACAACAGGAGAAAAACAATATTCAAATTTCTGTTTCAGACCGCCTTTTCTGTGATGTAGGTGTGATGTATCTGAGGGGTTGTCTTAGGTTACACCCCTTCTGTGATGTATGTATGATGTTTCTGGGGGTGGTCTTGATCTAAAAAAGGTAAAGGTAAAGGTGCCCCTGCCCGTACGGGCCAGTCTTGACAGACTCTAGGCTTGTGTGCTCATCTCACTCTATAGGCCGGGAGGCAGCGCTGTCCACAGACACTTCCGGGTCACGTGGCCAGTGTGACGAAGCTGCTTTGGTGAGCCAGAGCCGCACACAGAAACGCCGTTTACTTTCCCGCTAGTAAGCGGTCCCTATTTATCTACTTGCACCTGGGAGTGCTTTCGAACTGCTAGGTTGGCAGGCACTGGGACCGAGCAACGGGAGTGCACCCCGCCACGGGGATTCAAACCGCCGACCATGCGATCGGCAAGTCCTAGGCGCTAAGGTTTTACCCACAGCGCCACCCGCATCCCTGGTCTTGATCTACAGGGTGGCAATTTCAAAAGTCTTTATAAGGCCTTGCACGGCATTTTTGTGGGTCCTCCTCCTCTCCTGCGGGTGAGGGGAGTACCCTGTTGCAACAGATCAATAAAGATCAAGCTTACTAGCTGCTTTGCTTCTCCAATATTCTCTGGTTGGCCTCTGTTATTTTCTCCTACCAATAGGGAACCTATGTAAGGACTCTATATGGGCTCTTGGATAAGGGAAAAGGGCATTTTTTGTTTACAACACTACAATGCACAGAGTTCCCTGGGAAGTGGGACTGATTGTTAAACCACGGTGGAAACTGCAGTTCTGTGAAAGGAATTGTGGAAGTCTCCTGTACTTTATCAAGGTACAGCTCCCCGTATTCTTTGGAGGAAGCCAGGACTGTTTAAAGAGGTACCTTTTAAAGGATGGCATGAATGTGGTCATTTTTTACACCAGCAAAGCACACCTACTCCAAAGGATGGCCCTACTTCCTGGCAGGGACTTTGAGCTCCAGCTCCCCCAAAGTGCAGCCTAAAAAAATTAGGGATATTCCTGCTTCAAGGGCACATCTAGTGATGGAAACATTGAGTGCCAAAGCTCCTTTTCTGAAAATGACCGAGCAAGAAGAAAAGGAATCTCAAACTAACCTGGAAAACCCCTCCTGTCTACTTATCTCACATTCCCAGATACATTCACCCCCTTCGTGGCTTTTTCTTTTCAGTATAGTGCGTATGAACTAAAGTCTGTTGCCTGTTGCAACAACCCTTTCCTCACCAAATTGCATCCCCACCATCAGGCAACTCACTTGTTCAGCTTCTCTTTTCTCTGGAGAAATGAAAGAATTCCTTTAGTCACCCAGGAAAGTAGGTCTACAATTCAGCCCCAAACCCCACTGCAGGGGTGAATTATTAAAACTAGGATGTCAGCTCCCAGGAAGCAGAGCAGAAATGGGAAATCTAGGTTAAGCTTGTTCTACAGGATCCCATGACGTTTTCTCTTGAGCTTTACACAGGTGGTGCTGCATATGACTCGCCTCCTGCTTCCCAGACTTATTCTCCCCCAGCTGTGCACATGCTCAGGTAAATAGGGCCAGCTGCTGGTAATTTCAGAAAGTTTTGCAAAGGCTGCTGGGAAATGAAGTTCACAGGGAGGAAAACTGACCCAAGACCAACAACCAGGCAGCTGAGAGTCAAGATTCCCTCTTTCCCCTCTTGCACTTTGATTTATACCCTTCCTGGTTTGTTTGTTTTTAAAGGGACACGGGTGGCGCTGTGGGTTAAACCACAGAGCCTAGGACTTGCTGATCAGAAGGTCACGGTTTGAATCCCCGCAACGGGGTGAGCGCCCGTTGTTCGGTCCCAGCTCCCGCCCACCTAGCAGTTCGAAATCACGTTAAAGTGCAAGTAGATAAATAGGTACCGCTCCGGCGGGAAGGTAAACAGCGTTTCCGTGCGCTGCTCTGGTTCGCCAGAAGCGGCTTCGTCATGCTGGCCACATGAACTGGAAGCTGTACGCTGGCTCCCTCGGCCAGTAAAGCGAGATGAGCGCTGCATCCCCAGAGTCGGTCACGACTGGACCTAATGGTCAGGGGTCCCTTTACCTTTACCTGTTGTTTTTTAACATTTAAATTTAATTTTTATATATTGTCCACATATGAACTTTTTTTAAAAAAGAGAAGAAGGACTGGCTTGGGGAAGTCAGATTGCGTTACAAGCCAGAGGTTCCACAACCATGTGCAATGAGGAAAGCTGTTTATTAAACAAATTACTTCATAACCACAGCAGTATGTTTAAAACTGCAACCTCGACAGGGGGCCAGAGTAATAAAAAGAGAAGCAAAAGGATTAAAAAACATACGAAATTTATTGATGAATAGAGCAAACACATTAAAATACTTACAGAAGCAAGTGCCAAGTAAAACATGCATTTAAAAAGTAAGTACCAGTGATTGGAGCAATACACTGAAGTAGAAGAATGGAGAAACAGAAGCATTTGCAACATTTCTCTGCCTCTCCATTGCTGTCTTGTGCCGATTAAATTGACGTGAAATGAGTGCAATATCATAAAAGCTTTCCCCACACTTGTGGGCTATTTGGTGGGAATTGTCTTGTGCTGATTAATTAGATATTTTTAAAAGGTCTTGCTTCAGCCTGAGAAGCTCTGCGATGTCTCCTATTTATGCTTCAGTTGATGTAACCCAAGGCTTCCACTGCACCCAAATGTTCTGGAACAAATGGAACATACAAAACATTTCTTTTCAGGGCGCGTTACATTTTGTTCAACAAGACTTGGTTCAGAAGCATGGCTGAGGCCAAAATCTGGCTCCTCTCCTCTATGAATTCTCTGATGTGCCATAAGGGATGTGCTGCACCTGAAGCTCTCTCCACATTCTGAGCATTTGTGAGGTCCTTCTTCAATGTGCATCTTGTTATGTTTAATGAGATCAAACGGAGAAGTAAAGTCCTTGTTGCATTTTGAGCATTTGTACGTTCTCTCCACTACATGGGTTCTCTGATGTGTTATGTGCTGTGTGCTGAACTGGAAGGCCTGCTCACATTGTGAGTATTTATGAGGCTTCTCTTTGGTGTGGAGCTTTTGGTGCCTAACAAGATTTGATCTACCACTATACTCCTTACCACAGTCTGAGCACTTGTATGGATTCTCTCCTGTGTGGATGCTCTGATGTTTGGTAAGCTGTGTGCTATGATCGAAGCTGTGCCCACATTCTGAGCATTTATAAGGCTTCTCTTTTGTGTGGATTCTTTGATGCTTCCTAAGTCTGGCTTGAGTAATGCACCTCTTGCCACATTCTGAGTGTATGGCATGTGCCCTGAGTGGATTCTCTGATGTTCTGTCAAGTTGCTCTTGAGACTGAAGCTCTGTTCGCATTCTGAGCATTTATAAGGTTTCTCTTTGGTGTGGATTCTTTTGTGTCTATTAAGGTTTGAGTTACAATTAAACGACTTACCACAATCTGATCACTTGAATAGTTTATCTGCTGTGTGGGTACTCTGGTGTCTGGTAAGCTGTATGCTAAATTTGAAACTCTGTTCACATTCCAAGCATTTATATGGCTCTTCCTTTGTGTGGATTCTTTGATGCACCTTAAGGTAGGCTTGAGTTTTGTAACTCTTGCCACATTCTGAGCATTTGTGTGGCCTCTCCCCTGTGTGGGTTCTCTGGTGTAGGGCAAGGTTTGGCTTGTTCCAGAAGCTTTTATCACACACCTCACATTTATAGGGCTTCTCTCTCGTGTGACTTCTCTCATGCCTAATAAGGGACGTCTTGTTCTTATAGCTTTTCCCACACTGCTTACATATATAGGGGGCCTCTCCTGTGTGAACTATTTGGTGTCGATGAAGTTTTGACTTGTATTTGAAGCTTTTCCCACATTGGCTACATTGATAGGGTCTCTCTTCCACCTGAGTTTCCTGTATACCGTTCCCATTCATCTCTTTGTGCTCAGGCGCCGTTGACGACATCACACAACATTCTCCTTCTTTCTCGGTTACCTTCGTATCACCTGCTGAAATAAAGGCGAGAAATACTTTATGGGTCAGCAAAGGAGAAGCAAGCCTTCCCTTGGCTCTCCCCTAAATGTGTTGTGGTGTCATTTAATTCATTAAAATTGTTTGTCTCCCAGAGTGCAACTTATTTATTTCCCCTATGTCTGTTAGAATATGTTTCTGAAAGACACCTTGACCAGCAGATTTTTCCTTTCCCCTAAAGCAGGAGTTTAAGAGAGTGAAGGGAATATTAATGGCTTCAGAATTAGTTTACTGGAATTAAACAACAGTATACTGCTGAAATGTGATGTGTTTGTTGGTTTGCATGCTCTGGGAGAACAATTAGGACACAAGTCCTTGTATAACCTGGGACAGGGATTCATTTTCTTATGAAACAAAATCACTTATTGTGAATGCATTGGCACAATTCCAGGTTTTCTTCCCTTCCTAGATAAATAAGAATGTAAGGTATTGTCACGCTCTGCAGTTCATGTGGTGACCAGTAGGTGGCCATGCCAACTGCAGCATGTGGAACAGCTGGCCAGCCCAGGTGAGCTGGGGAAGCATATGCAAGGGGGTGAGAACTAAAAGAAGGTCTTTAGTCAGGTGTGGGGGGAAGGGCAAAGGGGTAGGTGGGTTTGGCACTTATAGCAGGATAGGGGGAGTCTGAACTTACCCCAAATCCTGCCCTCCCCATCATCCTCTTCCTCCTGGGTTTCATTCTGCAGCTGCCTCTGCTCAACTGAAGATGGAGCCTGGCCTGCAGTGAAGAAATTTGCAGCCGCCTCCCCATCACCATCTTCATCTTCCTCCTGGGTTTCATTCTGCAGCTGCCTCTGCTCAACTGAACATGGAGCCTGGCCTGCAGTGAGGAAATTTGCAGCCGCCTCCCCATCATCATCCTCTTCCTCCTGGGTTTCATTCTGCAGCTGCCTCTGCTCAACTGAAGATGGAGCCTGGCCTGCAGTGAGGAAACTTGCAGCCGCTTCCCTCTCCTCCTATATCACCCAAAACAGAAGAAAGGAATAATTTCAATAGGAGCCTATTGTTCAAGCTGGAGCAGCAACCTCCCTTCATTTCTATCTTTCACTCACATTCCACAAGTGAGAAATCAGGGATGTGCTTGTTTACATACCACACATTTAAAGTATACCCATTTATTGCACACACCCCCAATCTCCAAATGGTGTGGTATTCCAGGTATCCAGGAGCTTACTGAGGGTTTGGTTTCCTCAAAATGAGTGACAGCTGAGAGTGTGGTATCTTAATGATCGACAGTTTATTTACACATCTATTCAACCTGAGCCTCTGATGGAGGGGCTCACAGCATTAATGCCCCCTAAAGGGTCTTGCTCCTTCCACCCGCCATAGCAGCTATTTTGAGACTGGCACCCCCAGCACTCTCCAGGACCTCCAGACCCTGAAGGCATCACAAGTGGAGTCCCTTGCTGAAGAGTAGACTGAAAACTAGACAGACCATATGGAAGAGGCAACCTTATCTAATCTATTGTGGCCTGCACATCCCCTTCTCAAGCACAAGAGGGACAGGGAACTCAACCCCTGGCCCCACCACCACCAGCCTGGTGACACACTAGCGAATGGGAACTAAACGGCCACCAACTTGGATGGCTTGAAAATATGCTTGAGCATATTCATGGAGGAGAAGTCTATCAATGACTACTAGCCATGATGGCTATCCCCTGCTCCCACACTTAGAGGTAGTATTTTTTTCTTAGTGCAAGTGTGGGGAGACCACAGAAGGGGAGAGGGCTCTTGTACCCCTGTTTGGCCACTAGGAGACTGGACGCGGGACTAGATGGGCCATTGGCCTTTAGTTCTTGATTATCTCCCTCTTTCCCCTCTTGCACTTTGATTTATAGCCTTCCTGGTTTGTTTGTTTTTTAAAGGGACACGGGTGGCGCTGTGGTCTAAACTACAGAGCCTAGGGCTTGCTAATCAAAAGGCCGGTGGTTCAAATCCCCGTGACGACAGGGTGAGCTCCCGTTGCTCGGTCCCTGCTCCTGCCCACCTAGCAGTTCAAAAGCACGTCAAAGTGCAAGTAGATAAATAGGTACCGCTCCGGCAGGAAGGTAAACGGCGTTTCCGTGCGCTGCTCTGGTTCGCCAGAAGCGGCTTAGTCATGCTGGCCACATGAACCAGAAGCTGTACGCCGGCTCCCTCAGCCAATAAAGCAAGATGAGCGCCACATCCCCAGAGTCGGTCACGACTGGACCTAATAGTCAGGGGTCTCTTTACCTTTACCTGTTGTTTTTTAACATTTAAATTTAATTTTTATATATTGTCCACATATGAACTTTTTTTAAAAAAGAAAAGAAGGACTGGCTTGGGGAAGACAGATTGCATTACAAGCCAGAGGTTCCACAACCATGAGCAATGAGGAAAGCTGTTTATTAAACAAATTATTTCATAATCACAGCAGTATGTTTAAAACTGCAACCTTGACAGGGGGCAAGAGTAATAAAGAGAGAAGCAAAAGGATTAAAAAACATACAAAATTTATTGATGAATAGAGCAAACACATTAAAATACTTATTGAAGCAAGTGCCAAGTAAAACATGCATTTAAAAAGAAGTACCAGTGATTGGAGTAATACACTGAAGTAGAAGAATGGAGAAACAGAAGCATTTGCAACATTTCTCTGCCTCTTCATTGCTGTCTTGTGCCGATTAAACTGACGTGAAATGAGTGCAATATCATAAATCTTTTCCCACACTTGTGGGTTATTTAGTGGGAATTGTCTTGTGCTTATTAATTAGATATTTTTAAAAGGGTCTTGCTTCACCCTGAGAAGCTCTGCGATGTCTCCTATTTATGCTTCAGTTGGTGTAACCCAAGGCTTCCGCTGCACCCAAATGTTTTGGAACAAATGGAACATACAAAACATTTCTTTTCAGGGCGGGTCACATTATGTTCATCAAGACTTGGTTCAGAAGCATGGCTCAGGCCAAAATCTGGCTCCTCTCCTCTATGAATTCTCTGATGTGCCATAAGGGAGGTGCTGCACCTGAAGCTCTCTCCACATTCTGAGCATTGGTGCGGTCCTTCTTCAATGTGCATCCTGTTATGTTTAATGAGATCAAACGGAGAAGTAAAGTCCTTGTCGCATTTTGAGCATTTGTATGTTCTCTCCACTACATGGGTTCTCTGGTGTGTTTTGAGCTGCGTGCTGAACTGGAAGGACAGCTCACATTGTGAGCACTTATGAGGCTTCTCTTTGGTGTGGATTTTTTGGTGCCTAACAAGATTTGATCTACTACTATACTCCTTACCACAGTCTGAGCACTTGTATTGATTCTCTCCTGTGTGGATGCTCTGATGTTCAGTAAGCTGTGTGCTATGATCGAAGCTCTGCCCACATTCTGAGCATTTATAAGGGTTCTCTTTGGTGTGTATTCTTGTGTGGCTATTAAGCTTCGATTTACAATCAAAATCCTTACCACACTCTGAGCACTTGAATGGTTTATCTGCTGTGTGGGTACTCTGGTGTCTTCTAAGCTGTGTGCAAAATCTGAAGCTCTGACCACATTTTGAGCATTCTTAAGGCTTCTCTTTCGTGTGGATTCTTTCATGCTTCCTAAGGTTGGATCGGGTAATGTAACTCTTGCCACATTCTGAGCATTTGTGTGGCCTCTCCCCTATGTGGGTTCTCTGGTGTGCTTTCAAGCTTCTCTTTAGGCCAAAGCTCTTCCCGCATTCGGAGCATTTATAAGGCTTCTCTTTAGTGTGGGTTACTTGGTGTAGGGCAAGATTTCGCTTGTACCTGAAGCTTTTATCACACACCTCACATTTATAGGGCTTCTCTCCCGTGTGACTTCTTTCATGCTCAGTAAGGGACGTGTTGCGCCTAAAGCTTTTCCCACACTGCTTACATATATAGGGGGCCTCTCCTGTGTGAACTCTTTGGTGTCGATAAAGGTTCGACTTGTGTTTGAAGCTATTTCCACATTGCCTGCATTGATAGGGTCTCTCTTCCACCTGAGTTTCCTGTATACCGTTCCCGTTCATCTCTTTGTGCTCAGGTCCCGTTGATGATACCGCACAACATTCTCCTTCTTTCTCAATTACCTGCGTATCACCTGCTGAAATAAAGGCGAGAAATACTTTATGGGTCAGCAAAGGAGAAGTAAAGCCTTCCTTTGGCTCTCCCCTAAATGTGTTGTGGTGTCATTTCATTCATTTAAATTGTCGGTCTCCCATAGTGAGAGTTGTTTATTTCCTGTTTGTCTGTTAGAATATGCCGCTTAAAGACACCTTGCCCAGCAAATCTTTCCTTTCCTCTAAAGCAGGTGCTTAAGAGATTGAAGGGAATATTAACGGCTTAAGAATTACCGGTAGTTTACTGGAATTAGGTAAAGGTAAAAGGACCTCTGACCATTAGGTCCAGTCTTAACGAACTCTGGGGTTGCGGCGCTCATTTCGCTTTATTGGCCAAGGGAGCCGGCGTACACCTTCCAGGTTATGTGGCCAGCATGACTTAAGCTGCTTCTGGCGAACCAGAGCAGCGCACTGAAACGCCGTTTACCTTCCCGCTGCAGCAGTACCTATTTATTTAACGTGCACTTTGATGTGCTTTCAAACTGCTAGGTTGGCAGGAACAGGGACCAAAAAACGGGAGCTCACCCCGCCGCGGGGATTCAAACCACTGACCTTCTGATTGGCAAGTCCTAGGCTCTGTGGTTTAACCCACACCGCCACCCGGGTCCCTTTACTGGAATTAAACAACAGTATACTGCTGAAAATTGATGTGTTTGTTGGTTTGCATGCTCTGGCGGAACACTTAGGATATAAGTGCTTGTATAACCTGGGACAGGGATTTATTTTCTTATGAAACAAAATCACTTATTGTGAATGCATTGGCACAATTCCTGATTATCCTGCCTTTCTAGATAAATAAGAATGTAAGGTATTATCATGCTCTGCAGTTCATGTGGTGACCAGTAGGTGGTCATGCCAACTGCAGCATGTGGAACAGCTGGCCAGCCCAGGTGAGCTGGGGAAGCATATGCAAGGGGGAGAGAACTAAAAGGAGGCCTTTAGTCAGGTGTGGGGAAAGGGCAAATGGGTAGGTGGGTTTGGAACTTATAGCAGGATAGGGGGAGTCTGAACTTACCCCAAATCCTGCCCTCCCCATCATCCTCTTCCTCCTGGGTTTCATTCTGCAGCTGCCTCTGCTCAACTGAAGATGGAGCGTGGCCTGCAGTGAAGAAATTTGCAGCCGCCTCCCCATCCCCATCTTCATCTTCCTCCTGGGTTTCATTCTGCAGCTGCCTCTGCACAACTGAAAATGGAACCTGGCCTGCAGTGAAGAAATTTGCAGCTGCCTCCCCATCACCATCTTCATCTTCCTCCTGGGTTTCATTCTGCAGCTGCCTCTGCTCAACAGAAGATGGAGCCTGGCCTGCAGTGAAGAAATTTGCAGCCGCCTCCCCATCACCATCTTCATCTTCTTCCTGGGTTTCATTCTGCAGCTGCCTCTGCTCAACTGAAAATGGAACCTGGCCTGCAGTGAAGAAATTTGCAGCCGCCTCCCCATCACCATCTTCATCTTCCTCCTGGGTTTCATTCTGCAGCTGCCTCTGCTCAACAGAAGATGGAGCCTGGCCTGCAGTGAAGAAATTTGCAGCCGCCTCCCCATCACCACCTTCATCTTCCTCCTGGGTTTCATTCTGTAGCTGCCTCTGCTCAACTGAAGATGGAGCCTGGCCTGCAGTGAAGAAATTTGCAGCCGCCTCCCCATCACCATCTTCATCTTCCTCCTGGGTTTCATTCTGCAGCTGCCTTTGCTCAACTGAAAATGGAGCCTGGCCTGCAGTGAAGAAATTTGCAGCCACCTCCCCATCATCATCATCATCTTCCTCCTGGGTTTCATTCTGCAGCTGCCTCTGCTCAACTGAAAATAGAGCCTGGCCTGCAATGAAGAAATTTGCAGCCGCCTCCCCATCATCATCATCATCTTCCTCCTGGGTTTCATTCTGCAGCTGCCTCTGCTCAACTGAAGATGGAGCCTGGCCTGCAGTGAAGAAATGTGCAGCCACCTCCCTCACCTCCAATATCACCAGAAACAAAAGAAAGGAATCATTTTAATAGGAACCTATTGTTCAAGCTGGAGCAACTGCCCCCATCATCTTTATATTTCACCCTCCCTCTGCAAGTGAGAATTTAGGGCTGTGTTTGTTTACACACCACACATTTAAAGTATGCCCATTTATTACACAGTACCCCATCTCACGGTAGTGTGGTCTTCAAGGGGTTCCAGGCACTTACTGAGGGTTTGGTTTCCTCAGAATAAGGGACAGCTGAGACTGTTGTATCTTGATGATAGACGGTTTATTTACACATCTATGCAACCTGCGCCTCTGATGGAGGGGCTCACAGTATTAACACCCCCTAAAAGTTCTTGCTTGTCCCACCCACCATAGCAGCTATTTTGAGACGGGCGCCCCCAGGGCTCCCCAGGACTGCCAGACCCTGAATACATCACATGTGGAGTCCCTTGCTGAAGAATAGGCTGAAGACTAGACAGACCATATGGAAGAGGCAACCTTATCTAATCTATTGTGGCCTGCACATCCCCTTCTAAAGCACAAGAGGGACAGGGAACTCAACCCCTGGCCCCACCACCACCAGCCTGGCGACACATTAGCAAATGGGAACTAAACAGCCACCAACTTGGATGGCTTGAAAATATTCATGGAGAAGTCTATCAATGACTACTAGCCATGATGGCTATCCCCTACTTCCACACTTAAGAGGTAGTATTTTTTTCTTAATACGAGTGTTGTGAGACCACAGAAGAGGAGAGGGCTCTTGTACCCAGATGTTATTTGCCCCTGTTTGGCCACTGGGAGACCAGGACTCTGGACTAGATGGGCCATTGGCCTTTAGTTCTTGATTATTTCACCTGTAAAGAGTGTATCACTTCATTAATGAGTTCCCAGTGTATCACTTCATCAATGTCAGCCAGAGCTTGATCCAATTCAGGTCGCAGTTGGAATTGGTCCCCCATGGGTCACAGGTACAGGTCTCCCAACTCTGTAAGAGAATATGGGATATGTAGCAGAGACACCAAAGATATTAGGGAGATTCCCACACCTAGAGCATTATGAGAAAGGGCCTCATGTGAAACAGGATTCCTCCAAATGCTAAACCATTGGGGGGGGGGAGGAGGTAAAGGACTCCAGGACGGTTAAGTCCAGTCAAAGGCAACTATGGGGTTGTGGCGCTCATCTTGCTTTCAGGCCGAGGGAGACTGTGTTTGTCCACAGACAGCTTTCCAGGTCATGTGGCCAGCTGGACTAAACCGCTTCTGGCACAACGGAGCACCGTGATGGAAACCGGAGCGCATGGAAAGTCTGTTTACCTTTCCACACAGCGGTACCTATTTATCTACTTGCACTGGCATGCTTTCAAACTACTAGGTTGGCAGGAGCTGAGACAGAGCAATGAGAACTCACCCCGTCGTGGGGGATTTGAACCACCGACCTTCCGATCAGCAAGCCCAAGAGGCTCAGTGGTTTAGACCACAGCACCCCCCATGTCCCATGTATCCCATGAATACACCATGAACCCCATCTATGGCTGCATGTATTTTTTCTATACAGTTTGCAAGCAACCAGCAGTAATTAAGATCTACCACAATTTAGGGCAGAACTTAGTGGCTTTTTCTTCTAATATAGTGGGTATGAACTAAAATCTGTTGCCTGTTGCAACAACACTGTCCTCACTAAATTGCATTTACCCCCATTTCTTCTTAATATTTTCTACCCTGAGCCCGGCTTCGGCTGGGGAGGGCGGGATATAAATAAAAAATTATTATTATTAATTTATTATTATGGGCATAAACTAAATTCTGTTGCCTGTTGCAATAACACTTTCCTCACCAAATTCCACTCCCACCACTAGGCACCTCCCAGATTCAGCTTCCACTCTCCTCTGAAGAAATGAAGAAATCCATTTAACTCACCCAGGAAAATAGAGAGGAAAATGGGTCTGCTATCCAGCCCCAATGCAGCACTCACTTTGGGGGTGGAAGATTAAAAACTAGGATGTCGGTGCCCAGGAAGCAGAGCAGAAATGGGAACTCTATGTTAAGCTTCTCCTACAAGATCCCATGATGTTTTTTCTTGAGCTCTAGACAGGTGGTGCTGAATTTATGACTTCCCTCCTGCATCCCATTCCAGACTTACTCTCCCCAGCTGTGCACATGCTCAGGTAAATGAGGCCAGCTGCTCTTTGTTTGCAAAGTCTGCTGGGAATTGAAGTTCATAGAGAGGAAAACTGATCCAGGAAGAGCAACATGGCAGCTGAGAGAGAAAGACTCTCTCCTCTTGTACTTTGAGTTATAGCCTTCCTATTCTTTTTTAAAACTTAAAATTGAATTTATTTTCATATATTGCCAACATAGGAACATTAAAAAAGAAAAAGAAAATATGAAATCCATCAAGTTTAGCATCCCATGTCTTCAGCATCTGCTATTGAAAAATTGGTGGTTAAAAAAATGTAAAGGTAAAGGACTCCTGACAGTTAAGTCCAGTTGCCAATGACTCTGGGGTTGTGGCGCTCATCTCGCTTTACTGAGAGCCAGTGTGGTGTAGTGGTTAAGAGCAGTAGACTTGTAATCTGGTGTACCGGGTTCGCATCTCCGCTCCTCCACATGCAGCTGCTGGGTGACCTTGGGCTAGTCACACGTCTTTGAAGTCTCTCAGCCTCCACTCACCTCACAGAGTGTTTGTTGTGGGGGAGGAAGGGAAAGGAGAATGTTGGCCACTTTGAGACTCTTTCGGGTAGTGATAAAGCAGGATATCAAATCCAAACTCCTCCTCTTCTTCTTTTTCTTCTACTGGCCAAGGGAACTGGCATTTGTCCACAGACAGTTTTTCCGGGTCATGTGGCCAGCATAACTAAGCCGCTTCTGGCAAGACCAAAGCAGCGCACGGAAACGCCGTTTACCTTCCCGCCGGAGCGGTACCTATTTATCTACTTGCACTTTTGATGTGCTTTCGAACTGCTAGGTTGGCAGGAGCTGGGACCAAACAACGGGAGCTCACCCCATCGCAGGGATTTGAACCGCCAACCTTCTGATCGGGAAGCCCAGAGGCTCAGTGGTTTAGACCACAGCGCCACCCACGTCCTACTATAAATGGTGGTACTATTGAGCTATTAAGGTTAATTATCATTATTATCATCATCATCATCATTAGGCTATTGGTCCGTCTAGGTCAGAACTGTTTACATTGACTGGCAGTGGTTCTGCAGGATTTTAGGTACAGAACCTCTCCCAGCCCCACCTGGAGATACTGGGGATTGAACTTGCAACCTTCTCTATGCAAAGTGTACCATATTGCAGTCAGGTCCAACTCCCAAGACACTGCGATCTACTCCCAGTATTAAAAAAAAAAACAAAAAACTTGCAGCGATCTGCCTTGTTTTGGGAAGGATGACCAAGAGTTGATGAGCTCTGGGGGGCGGGGAGCCAGGGTTCGTGAGCTTTTGGGGGAGATTGACCTAGAGCAGCTTCACAGTCGGCAAGTAGATCGCGACCGACCTGTTGGACACACCTGCCATATTGGAAATCCTTATTAGATCTGATTCTCTCGGGTAACTCATTAATTTCCCCTCGGATTACCACACCAGCCCATATGTTAACTCTCAGCTTCTGTTGTTGTTTTTTCAGAGGAGAGTCATGGAAGAGTGCAAACCCAGAAGTCCCCCGTTAGAAGCTGGGATGGAGGAGACAGGAGAAGTCTTCCAGGACCTCGAGGTGAGACCCTTTCAGTGTGTTGTTTTATAGAATCATAGAAACATACAATCGAAAGGGAAACAAGCCTCATCTCATCCAACCCCCTGCGATGCAGGAATTAAGCATCCATGGCAGGTAGATGTAATGGGACAAGGCAATGAGATCTCTCCTCACTTTACAACCAGGAAGGCGAAGCTGCAAGCCTGGATCTTTCTCTCCAGTAAGGCCAATGGACCATGAAGGTCACTGTGGAGGAGAGGGTGAAGTCCTTGCGTCTTGCAATATTGCTCTGCCCTAAAATTCTTTCTCCCAAGTGACTGAAAAGGCCATATTCCTACTAAGAGTCTCATCCTCTACCAACTGAGCTACTGTAGAAGAAGAAGAGAAGTTTGGATTTGATACCCCGCCTTTCACTCCCCTTCAGGAGTCTCAAAGCGGCTCACAATCTCCTTTCCCTTCCTCCCCCACAACAAACACTCTGTGAGGTGAGTGAGGCTGAGAGACTTCAGAGAAGTGTGACTGGCCCAAGGTCACCCAGCAGCTGCATGTGGAGAAGCAGAGACGCGAACCTGGTTCCCCAGATTACGAGACTACTGCTCTTAACCACTACACCACACTGTATTTTTCTGTGTATAAGATGCCCCCATGTATAAGACAACTCCTATTTTTTTGAACCCCAAATTAAGAAAGCAATATTTTAAACATCAGAGAGAACAAGTTTTATATTTTATTGAATACTCAAAGCACCGGCAACCCCTGTGAGTGCCTGGGGCGGCCGGGGTGTGTGTGTGTGTGCATGTGTGGGGGCAGATTTCACCAAAAGTTTTTGAGCTTTTTTTTTGGTGGGGGGAGACCACCTAAGCCAGTCCTGGCAGCTGCAGAAAGCTAAGTTGTATTTTTTTAAACTCCTGTGCATTCACCATCCCTGTAGAAGACAACCCCCAATTATTGACTTTTTTTAAGCAAAAAAACATTGTCTTATACATGGAAAAATATGGTATATTGGCTCCCTAGTTCCTCATACATCAGTGGCAAATAATAATAATAATAATAATAATAATAATAATAATAATAATTTATTTATACCCCGCCCATTTGGCTGGGTTTCTCTAGCCACTCCCAACAGAATATTAAAAAGACGCTAAAACACCAAACATTAAAAACTTCCTTAAACAGGGCAGCCTTCAGATGTCTTCTAAAAGTCAGAAAGTTGTATATTTCCTTGTTTATTCCTTGTTGTTTATTTCCTTGACATCTGATGGAAGGGCATTCCACAGGGCATGCGCCACCACCGAGAAGGCCCTCTGCCTGGTTCCCTGTAACTCACTTCTCACAGGGAGTGAACAGCTAGAAGATCCTCGGCACTGGACTTCCGTGTCCAGGCTGAATGATTAGGGTGAAGACAGTCCTTCGGGGTCCTGTCCTGTCCCAGTTGAACAGCCTGCAAGCCACGCTGATTTGGAGGCTTCTCTGTGACCTCCAGAAGAAGCTCCACAAAGACTTCTAGATTCCTTGGGTGAAATCTAGCCCTGGTTTTGCTCTCTTGCTAAGGTAATTGGAGTATGAAGATAGGGTGGTGAAACGTAGGGTGAAGCCTTCACATCCAGTAATGTTTATGTATCCTAAAAATGGTCCACCGTTGGTATTTCAGGTACAGTCAGAGGTGGTGGTTCCAAGTTCATCCACAGCATGCCAAGCTGCCCCCACAGTGGTGGTCTGGCAACCATGGCTGAAACCCAAGAGGGAAGACGGCAGAGGTGAGGCCAGCCTGATAGGTAAGGGCAGGAGGGAGATGGCTTCTTTGTTCCTGAGTTACAGGATGCTCTGTGATTCCAACAGCAGTATATATTTATAAAAAGGTAAAGGACCCCTGTGGCGGACGACTCTGGGTTGCGGCACTCATCTCACTTTATTGGCCAAGGTACAGCTTTGGGGTCATGTGGCCAGCATGACTAAGCCGCTTCTGGCAAACCAGAGCAGCGCACAGAAACACCGTTTACTAGTGCAGCACGTCTTTGGTAAAGTCGAAAATCCTTTAGTGAAACAGTAGGTATACATTTCAGTAATACCTAGGTATATATGTATTTTTCTTTCTTTCTTTTTTATTATTAACATATACTGTAAAACACATACATTTACATATACACAATACACATACACAACACACTACCTTATTTTCATAACATAAAACATACCTACATTACTCCATATAATACCTACCTATACTGTACATAGGGGACGTGGGTGGCGCTGTGGGTTAAACCACAGAGCCTAGGACTTGCCGATCAGAAGGTCGCGGTTTGAATCCCCGCAATGGGGTGAGCTCCCGTTGTTCGGTCCCAGCTCCCGCCCACCTAGCAGTTCGAAATCACGTCAAAGTGCAAGTAGATAAATGGGTACTGCTCCGGCGGGAAGGTAAACAGCATTTCCGTGCACTGCTCTGGTTCGCCAGAAGTGGCTTAGTCATGCTGGCCACATGAACCGGAAGCTCTACGCCTGCTCCCTCGGCCAGTAAAGCGAGATGAGCGCCACATCCCCAGAGTCGGTCACGACTGGACCTAATGGTCAGGGGTCCCTTTACCTTTACCTGTTGTTTTTTAACATTTAAATTTAATTTTTATATATTGTCCACATATGAACTTTTTTTAAAAAAAGAAAAGAAGGACTGGCTTGGGGAAGACAGATTGCATTACAAGCCAGAGGTTCCACAACCATGTGCAATGAGGAAAGCTGTTTATTAAACAAATTGTTTCATAACCACAGCAGTATGTTTAAAACTGCAACCTCGACAGGGGGCCAGAGTAATAAAAAGAGAAGCAAAAGGGGTAAAAACCTACAAAATTTATTCGTGAATACAGGAAACACATTAAAATACTGATAGAAGCAAGTGCCAAGTAAAACATGCATTTAAAAAGAAGTAATTGTTATTGGAACAATACACTGAAGTAGAAGAATGGAGAAACAGAAGCATTTGCAAGATCTCTCTGCCTCTCCATTGCTGTCTTGTGCAGATTAAACTGACGTGAAATGAGTGCGCTATCATAAAAGCTTTCCCCACATTTGTGGTTTATTTCGTGTTAATTGTCTTGTGCTGATTAATTAGATATTTTAAAAAGGGTCTTGCTGCAGCCTTGTCGCATTTTGAGCATTTGTATGTTTTCTCCACTTCATGGGTTCTCTGGTGTGTGTTGAGATGTGTGCTATGATCGAAGCTCTGACCACATTTTGAGCATTTTTAAGCCTTCTCTTTTGTGTGGGTTCTCTGGTGTTTTTTCAAATTGCTCTTTTGACTGAAGCTCTTCCCACATTTTTCACATTGATAAGGCTTCTCTTTCGTGTGGATTCTTTGATGCACCGTAAGGTTAGGTTGAGTAAGGTAACTCTTACCACATTCTGAGCATTTGTGTGGCCTCTCCCCTTTGTGGGATCTCTGGTGTACGTTCAAGCTGAACTTTTGACGGAATCTCTTCCCGCATTCTGAGCATTTATAAGGCTTCTCTTTAGTGTGGGTTACTTGGTGTAGGGCAAGGACTGACTTACGACTGAAGCTTCTTCCACATTCCTCACATTTATAGGGCTTCTCTCCCGTGTGACTTCTTTCATGCAGAACAAGGGATGAGCTGGTCTTATAGCTTTTCCCACACCACATACATAAATAGGGGGCCTCTCCTGTGTGAACTCTTTGGTGTTCATAAAGGTTCGACTTGCGTTTGAAGCTTTTTCCACATCGGCTGCATTGATAGGGTCTCTCTTCCACCTGAGTTCCCTGTATAACATTCTCGTTCATCTCTTTGTGCTCAGGCTCTGCTGACAACATCGCACAACGTTCTCCTTCATTCTCAGTTACCTGCATATCATCTGCTGAAAAAAAGGGGAGAAAGTCTTGATGGGACCCCAGAGGAGAAGGAAAGCTTCCGTTGAAATGTGTCATTTCATTCATTGAAATTGGCTATCTCCCATAGTGCAAGTTATTTATTTCTCCCTATGTCTGTTAGAATATGCTGCTGAAAGACACCTTGCCAAGCAGATCTTTCCTTTCCTCTAAAACAGGAGCTTAAGAGATTGAAGGGAATATTAATGGTTTAAGAATGACCGGTAGTATACTGGAATTAAACAACAGTATATGCAGGTGGCGGGACGCGGGTGGCGCTGTGGGTAAAAGCCTCAGCACCTAGGGCTTGCCGATCGAAAGGTCGGCGGTTCGAATCCCCGCGGCGGGGTGCGCTCCCGTTGCTCGGTCCCAGCGCCTGCCAACCTAGCAGTTCGAAAGCACCCCTGGGTGCAAGTAGATAAATAGGGACCGCTTACTAGCAGGAAGGTAAATGGCGTTTCTGTGTGCGGCTCTGGCTCGCCAGAGCAGCGATGTCACGCTGGCCACGTGATCCGGAAGTGTCTCTGGACAGCGCTGGCCCCCGGCCTCTTGAGTGAGATGGGTGCACAACCCTAGAGTCTGTCAAGACTGGCCCGTACGGGCAGGGGTACCTTTACCTTTATATGCGGGTGGCAAAGTGGGTTAAACCACAGAGCCTAGGCCTTGCTGATCAGAAGATCAGCGGTTTGAATCCCTGCGATGGGGTGAGCTCCTGTTGCTCAGTCCCTGCTCCTGCCAACCTACTAGTTCGAAAGCACGCCAAAGTGCAAGTAGATAAATAGGTACCGCTCTGACGGGAAGGTAAACGGTGTTTCCGTGCTCTGCTCTGGTTCGCCAGAAGTGGCTTAGTCAAGCTGGCCCCATGACCCAGAAGCTGTACGACGGCTTCCTCGGCCAATAAAGCGAGATGAGCGCTGCAACCCCAGAGTCAGTCATGACTGGACCTAATGGTCAGGGGTCCCTTTACCTTTTTTATACTGCTGAAGTTTGATGTGTTTGTTGGTTTGCGTGCTCTGGTGGAACAATTAGGATCCACGTCCTTGTCTAACCCAAAACAGGGTTTTATTTTCTTATGGAAGATAATCAGGTATTCTGAATGCATTGGCACAATTCCAGATTATCTTGCCTTCCTAGATACCGTACATAAGAATGGAAGGTATTTTCACGCTCTGCAGTTCATGTGGTAACCAGTAGGTGGCCATGCCAACCAAAACATGAGGAACAGGTGGCTGACCCAGGTGAACTGCAGGGGGAGGGAATATGCAAGGAGGTGAGATATAAAAGGGAGGAGCTTTAGTCAAGTGGGGGGGAGGGCAAAGGAGTAGGGGAAGACGGAACTTGCCTACAATCCTGCCCTCCTCGTTTTCCTTGTTTTCCTTCTGCAGCTGCCTCTGCTCAACTAAAACTGGAGCCTGGCCTGCATCAGGGAGATTTGCAGCCTCCTCTTCCTTCTCCTCCGGTATCAACTGAAACAGCAGAAAGGAATCCTTTCAATAGCTGGAGCAACAGTCCACACCATCTTTTTCACTCACCCTCTGCAAGTGAGAAATTAGGGCTGTGTTTGTTCACACCACACATTTAAGGTGTGCCCATTTATTGCACCCACACCCAATCTCCAAGTGGTGCGGTATTCCCAGGGGTTCCATGCGCTTACCGAGGGCTCGGTTTCCTCAGAATGAGGGATAGCTGAGACTGTGGTATCTTGATAATAAATGGTTTATTTACACATCTATGCAACCTGAGCTCCGATGGAGGGGTTCACAGCATTAATGCCCCCCCAAAGGGCCTTGCTTCTCCAACCCCCCATAGCAGCTATTTTGAGGCGGGCACCCCCAGCGCTCTCCAGGACCTTCAGACCCTGAAGACATGTGGAATCCCTTGTTGACGGCTAGACAAAACAATATGGAAGAGGCATCCCTATATAGTCCATGGGTCTCGAGTTGGTGTAGGGCAAGGTTTGCCTTGTACCTGAAGCTTTTATCACACACCTCACATTTATAGGGCTTCTCTCCCGTGTGACTTCTCTCATGCCTAATAAGGGACGTCTTGTTCTTATAGCTTTTCCCACACTGCTTACATATATAGGGGGCCTCTCCTGTGTGAACTATTTGGTGTCGATGAAGTTTTGACTTGTATTTGAAGCTTTTTCCGCATTGGCTACATTGATAGGGTCTTTCTTCCACTTGAGTTTCCTGTATACCCTTCCCGTTCATCTCTTTGTGCTCAGGTCCCGTTGATGATACCGCACAACGTTCTCCTTCATTCTCAGTTACCTGCATATCACCTGCTGAAATAAAGGCGAGAAATACTTTATGGGTCAGCAAAGGAGAAGGAAAGCCTTCCTTTGGCTCTCCCCTAAATGTGTTGTGGAGTCATTTCATTCATTTAAATTGTCGGTCTCCCATAGTGAGAGTTATTTATTTCCCGTTTGTCTGTTAGAATATCCTGCTGAAAGACACCTTGCCCAGCAGATCTTTCCTTTCCTCTAAAGCAGGAGCTTAAGAGATTGAAGGGAATATTAATGGCTTAAGAATTACCGGTAGTTTACTGGAATTAGGTAAAGGTAAAAGGACCTCTGACCATTAGGTCCAGTCGTAACCAACTCTGGGGTTGCGGCGCTCATTTCGCTTTATTGGCCAAGGGAGCAGGCGTACAGCTTCCAGGTTATGTTGCCAGCATGACTTAAGCTGCTTCTGGCGAACCAGAGCAGCGCACTGAAACGCCGTTTACCTTCCCGCTGCAGCAGTACCTATTTATCTACTTGCACTTTGTTGGGCTTTCAAACTGCTAGGTTGGCAGGAGCAGGGACTGAGCAATGGGAGCTCACCCCGTCGCGGGGATTCGAACCACTGACCTTCTGATTGGCAAGTCCTAGGCTCTGTGGTTTAACCCACACCGCCACCCGCGTCCCTTTACTGGAATTAAACAACAGTATACTGCTGAAATTTGATGTGTTTGTTGGTTTGCATGCTCTGGCAGAACAATTACGATACAAGTCCTTGTATAACCTGGGACAGGGATTTATTTTCTTATGAAACAAAATCACTTACTGTGAATGCATTGGCACAATCCCTGATTATCCTGCCTTCCTAGATAAATAAGAATGTAAGGTATTATCATGCTCTGCAGTTCATGTGGTGACTAGTAGGTGGGCATGCCAACTGCAGCATGTGGAACAGCTGGCCAGCCCAGGTGAGCATATGCAAGGAGGTGAGAAATAAAAGGAGGCCTTTAGTCAGGTGTGGGGAAAGGGCAAATGGGTAGGTGGGTTTGGCACATATAGCAGGATAGGGGGAGTCTGAACTTACCCCAATTCCTGCCCTCCCCATCATCCTCTTCCCTCTGGGTTTCATTCTGCAGCTGCCTCTGCTCAACTGAAGATGGAGCCTGGCCTGCAGTGAAGAAATTTGCAGCCGCCTCCCCATCACCATCACCATCTTCATCTTCCTCCTGGGTTTCATTCTGCAGCTGCCTCTGCTCAACTGAAGATGGAGCCTGGCCTGCAGTGAGGAAATTTGCAGCCGCCTCCCCATCACCATCTTCATCTTCCTCCTGGGTTTCATTCTGCAGCTGCCTCTGCTCAACTGAAGATGGAGCCTGGCCTGCAGTGAAGAAATGTGCAGCCGCCTCCCCATCCCCATCTTCATCTTCCTCCTGGGTTTCATTCTGCAGCTGCCTCTGCTCAACTGAAGATGGAACCTGGCCTGCAGTGAAGAAATGTGCAGCCGCCTCCCCATCCCCATCTTCATCTTCCTCCTGGGTTTCATTCTGCAGCTGCCTCTGCTCAACTGAAGATGGAACCTGGCCTGCAGTGAAGAAATGTGCAGCCGCCTCCCCATCCCCATCTTCATCTTCCTCCTGGGTTTCATTCTGCAGCTGCCTCTGCTCAACTGAAAATGGAGCCTGGCCTGCAGTGAAGAAATGTGCAGCCGCCTCCCCATCCCCATCTTCATCTTCCTCCTGGGTTTCATTCTGCAGCTGCCTCTGCTCAACTGAAGATGGAACCTGGCCTGCAGTGAAGAAATGTGCAGCCGCCTCCCCATCCCCATCTTCATCTTCCTCCTGGGTTTCATTCTGCAGCTGCCTCTGCTCAACTGAAGATGGAACCTGGCCTGCAGTGAAGAAATGTGCAGCCGCCTCCCCATCCCCATCTTCATCTTCCTCCTGGGTTTCATTCTGCAGCTGCCTCTGCTCCACTGAAAATGGAGCCTGGCCTGCAGTGAGGAAATTTGCAGCCGCCTCCCCATCACCATCATCCTCTTCCTCCTGGGTTTCATTCTGCAGCTGCCTCTGCTCAACTGAAGATGGAGCCTGGCCTGCAGTGAAGAAATGTGCAGCCGCCTCCCCATCCCCATCTTCATCTTCCTCCTGGGTTTCATTCTGCAGCTGCCTCTGCTCAACTGAAAATGGAGCCTGGCCTGCAGTGAGGAAATTTGCAGCCGCCTCCCCATCACCATCATCCTCTTCCTCCTGGGTTTCATTCTGCAGCTGCCTCTGCTCAACTGAAGATGGAGCCTGGCCTGCAGTGAGGAAATGTGCAGCCGCCTCCCCATCACCATCTTCATCTTCCTCCTGGGTTTCATTCTGCAGCTGCCTCTGCTCAACTGAAAATGGAGCCTGGCCTGCAGTGAGGAAATGTGCAGCCGCCTCCCCATCCCCATCTTCATCTTCCTCCTGGGTTTCATTCTGTAGCTGCCTCTGCTCAACTGAAAATGGAGCCTGGCCTGCAGTGAAGAAATTTTCAGGTGCCTCTCTCACCTCCAATATCACCAGAAACAAAAGAAAGGAATCATTTTAATAGGAACCTATTGTTCAAGCTGGAGCAACTGCCCCCATCATCTTTATATTTCACCCTCCCTCTGCAAGTGAGAATTTAGGGCTGTGTTTGTTTACACACCACACATTTAAAGTATGCCCATTTATTACACAGTACCCCATCTCACGGT